TACTGGGTACATGAGGGGGGTCAAATTGACCCCGCCCCCCCAGCAGGAATAGGGTTAAAAAAGCATGAACAAAAGAGAAGGTTGAAAGGGATACAGAGGATTTCCAACTCGTTCAAAGTTGTATTCACAGTAACAGGGAGAAGGTTAGAAAGGATACGGAGTGTAAATGTAAATTGGATACAATCACAGAAATCACATCGGGAGAAGGCCTAGGTTCAAAGGATACAGCGGATATATAGAGTGGATATATATGAGAAGCTGAAGGTTGTCAGGGATACAGAGGATATAAAGAGTGGATACATAGAGAAGGTTGGAAGGGATACAATGAATATAAAGAGTGGATACAGGGGGAAGGTTGGATAAAATACAGAGTATATTAATTGGATACAGTGAGAAGGGTAGAGCGGATACATTATATAGAGGATATGTAGAGTGGATACAACGATAAGGGTAGAGTGGTTACAGAGGATATATTGATTGGATACAGTGATAAGGGTGGAGCGGTTACATAGGATATATTGATTGGATACAATGATAAGGGTAGAGCAGTTACAGAGGATATATTGATTGGATACTGTGATAAGGGTAGAGCGGTTACATAGGATATATTGATTGGATACAGTGATAAGGGTGGAGTGGTTACAGAGGATATTGATTGGATACAGTAATAAGGGTAGAGCGGTTACATAGGATATATTGAATGGATACAGTGATAAGGGTGGAGTGGATACAGAGGATATATTGATTGGATACAGTGATAAGGGTAGAGCGGTTACAGAGGATATATTGATTGGATACAATGATAAGGGTAGAGCGGTTACAGAGGATATATTGATTGGATACAACGATAAGGGTAGAGTGGTTACAGAGGATATATTGATTGGATACAGTGATAAGGGTAGAGCGGTTACAGAGGATATGTTGATTGGATACAATGAGAAGGGTAGAGTGGTTACAGAGGATATGTTGATTGGATACAGTGATAAGGGTAGAGCGGTTACAGAGGATATATTGATTGGATACAGTGATAAGGGTAGAGCGGTTACAGAGGATATGTTGATTGGATACAATGAGAAGGGTAGAGTGGTTACAGAGGATATATTGATTGGATACAGTGATAAGGGAAGAGCGGTTACAGAGGATATATTGATTGGATACAATGAGAAGGGTAGAGCGGTTACAGAGGATATATTGATTTGTAAGGGATACGGAGTATCACAGTTCACATTTTATAATTATTTACGTAATCTTGGGATAAAATGATTTTATTTCCATTTAAAAGACGTGGATATTCTTAGAAAATGTAGAATTTAAGAGAAAATACATTTTTGAAAAATTTAGTCACTTGTTAGTGAAAGCTTGTGTTATGTTGATGTAATCAAGAGAGTAAATAATTTCAAGGTAAAAATAATTTATAGATGGGTATCGTGATTTCGAACGAACGAATTTTTGAGAACGAACGAAATTGTTCATGGAAAAGGGGTCGAGTTCAGAAAGAAAAACGAACGATGGACGAACAAAGTGGACTGTTCAGAGAAATGAAAAAAATAATAATTTTTTAAAAACGAACAAAAAAACAAATGATTTAAAATTGTTCGAACAAACTCGAAAAATTGATAGTTTGTTTACCGAACAAACGAAGTTTTTAAAATATTTTTAAAAAAGGATCCTTTTTTTAAACTGAACGAACGATTTTTAATACAAAATTTGTTGAAACATTAGTTTTTTAATGAATGAACGATTTTTTCATTTTCAATTTTGAAAATCGATAGTTTTTTTTATGGAACAAACGATTTATTGAATGAACAATTTTGCTGAACGAATGATTTTACCGAAAGAACGAAGTTTTTTTGAACAATTGAAAAAACTGAACGAAATGGGTCGTTCATGAACGATGACCAAACGAAATGAAAAAAGTCGACCTTGTCCATCTCTTGGTAAAATGTGTTTTTTAATCCAATAAAGTCTGATTTACCATTGTTTGTTTGTTGGGCCTACTATGAGACAAACTTTCAGAAACAAGATAATTGAAAAAGTTTCATTTTCTATTTATACTTGTGTTTCGCGACCAAACCACTGGCCGTGAATATATCAATTTATCAGGATAACCCTAATAGTATCTCCCCACGTCATAATTCAGCTCAGGTCGATTGGAACGTTCAATAGCCTCACAAATCCTTCGACTACTCTATCATCTCTTCGTCTCAGAATAAATCAGCGCTCTGGTACTGAACAAACGGTTCAATCTGAAAGATTTTATACAAGATTATACTAATTGATTTTTATACAAGATTATAATAATTGATTTTTATACAAGATTATAATAATTGATTTTTATACAAGATTATAATAATTGATTTTATGCAAGGTCATATTAATTAATTTTCATACAAGATTAAACTAATTGATATTTATGCAAGATTATTATAACTGATTTTTATACAAGATTATACTAATTGATATTTATGCAGGATTATAATAATTGATTTTTATACAAGATTATACTAATTGATATTTATGCAAGATTATTACAATTTATTTTTATACAAGATTATACTAATTGATTTTATGCAAAATTATAATAATTAATTTTTATACAAGATTATACTAATTGATATTTATGCAAGATTATTATAACTGATTTTTATACAAGATTATACTAATTGATATTTTATGCAAGATTATTATAATTGATTTTTATACAACATTATACTAATTGATTTTATGCAAGGTTATAATAATTTATTGTATAAAAAGTTAGATACCATTTTGTATAGAGGGAAGATTTATAAAGAAAAATTGTCCTGCTCTAAATTTTAGATGAATAAATTATTTAAATCTTAAAGCGATTTTATGCTTATATTTATGATTTTAATGGAATTTTGGCTTTTTAAAACTACAGACGATTGCCAGTATAAATGTTAGGTCTAAAAGGGATCCAAACACTTTTTTTGTTAAATTCTAGAACGAACTGTTATGGTCTTATTTTAAGAACCTGAATTATCACTCTAATTTTAAGATATTTAATCGATTGTCAATCTAACTCAAAGATCTAAAACCGATTGTCGATCTAATTCAAAGATCTTTTAGAGATTGTCAATCTAATTGAAAGATCTTAAAGAGATTGTTACTCTAATTCAAAGATCTTTAAAAGATTGTCACTCTTATTCAAAGATCTTTAAGCTAGATTGCAATAATTCTAGTTATTCATGGGATTGTCACTCTAGTTCAAAGATCTTTAAGAGATTGTTACTCTAGTTCAAAGATCTTTCAGAGATTGTTACTCTAGTTCAAAGATCTTTAAGAGATTGTCACTCTTATTCAAAGATCTTTAAGCTAGATTGCAATAACTCTAGTTATTCATGGGATTGTCACTCTAGTTCAAAGATTTTTAAGAGATTGTTACTCTAGTTCAAAGATCTTTAAGAGATTGTTACTCTAATTCAAAGATCTTTAAGAGATTGTTACTCTAGTTCAAAAATCTGTAAGAGATTGTCAATCTTTTTTAAAAAATTTTAAGAGATTGTCAATCTTTTTTAAAAATTTTTAAGAGATTGTCCCTCTTATTCAAAGATCTTTAAGGGATTGCCACTCTAATTCAAATATCTTAAAAAGTTTGTCACTCTAATTTAGATACAGGGTGTCCGACGAAACATGACAGTAAGTGAATGGTTTAAAATGTCTTCTTCCATAATTTGTTAAGTTGTTTGATACGAAAGAGAATAATAACAAATATCGTATGGGAGTCATCTTACAATAAAATTGATTTGAAAGTAAAATACATTCGAGTAAAAGATTTTTTAAACTAAATAAACTGCAAACAGTCTTTCATATCTAATACAGTATATGGAAGAAGGCTTTAAGAGATCGTCACTCTTATTTGAAGATCTTTAAGAGATTATAACTCTAATTCAAAGATCTTAAATTAATTGCCACTCTAATTTAAAATATTTAAGGGATTGTCACTCGATCTAATTCAAATATTCTGAAGAAATTGTTACTGTAATTTAGAGATCTTTATGGATTATCAATCTACTTCAAATTTTTAATGTCGTCTTCCTATTATGCAGTTTTTTATTCTCACTGTATGATGTAGAAATCCACAATCTCACTCTATCAACCGTTTTTTCTTCTATTTTAACAGAAGGTTACTCTCTGGCTAAAATACCACCAGTTTTAGATAAAAAGAAGTATTTTAAAGGAACTGAGTTCCAATTCCCTTTATCTTTGCAACCAAATGCAGTAGACTTTTGATTCGAGGCGTACACGGGGGAAGGGGGTGGGGAGGATTGTGCTATGAGGCCTCAGCTCCCCACCCTGGATCAGCAAAATTTATGAAAAAAAATTAAATTAAAATGCAAACTAAAATTTTAGTTTGTGGCAAAAACCTCTTCATTTAAAAGAAAACATTTTTTTTGCAAGCAAAAACTGATTTTGTTTTGCAAAAAAAATACTAACCATCTTTGAGGAAATAGATTTTCTCTAATACTGTTTCTCCTATTTCCTCTATTCATAACTGTCTCTCCTATTTCCTCTTTAATAAAACAGAAATAGATTTCCTCTATTTATTACTGTATTTCCTCTATTTATAACTGTTTCGCCTATTTCTTCTATCTATTATTGTTTCTCCTATTTCCTCTATTTATTACTGTTTCTCCTATTTCCTCTATTTATTACTGTTTCTCCTATTTCCATTATTCATTACTGTTTCTCCTGTTTCCATTATTTATTACTGTTTCTCCTATTTCCTCTATTATTACTGTTTCTCCTATTTCCTCTATTTATTACTGTTTCTCCTATTTCCTCTATTTATTACTGTTTCTCCTATTTCCTCTATTTATTACTGTTTCTCCTATTTCCTCTAGTTATTACTGTTTCTCCTATTTCTTCTATTTTTTACTGTTTCTCCTATTTCCTCTATTTATTAAGGTTTCTCCTATTTCCATTATTCATCACTGTTTCTCCTATTTCCTCTATTTATTACTGTTTCTCCTATTTCCTCTTTAATAAAACAGAAAGAACAAAACTTTAAAGGGACTGTAAGTATAATTTTACGTGACTCTCTATGCAAAGATCGATTCATAACGGTATCCTTAAAAGCTTTGTCTGATCAAGTATGAATTATATATTAATGTTTATAATTAAGAATACTGATTATTGTTAATTGCGGTTTCTCTACAAAAGTACTTGCGCACTTCATCTGCATGAAACATATCGGAATTTTCAGATTTCAAATAAGAAAAATTACAATGTTTTCCACAATTTTGATCAGATAAAGGTATCAGGGTACCATTGTGAATTCGGCATAGTCATCTTTGCATGGAGGGTCACTTGAAATTACAATTACAGTCCCTTTAAACATTTGAAAGGAAACATATGCATATACTGTTCATACTGTATAGCTTCTGACATTAATTGTAAGTGGGTTTGAAAGGAGAATTCAATTATTTACAATAATGACAATAATTACTCCAATATTTACTGAAGGGTGGTGGCCAGGGGTGGCATGGGGAATAAATACAGCCCTCACTTTTATTTTATTTTATATGACATTTTGAAAAGAATGTTAAACAAATATGAAATTAAGTGAAATATCCCTAACATTCCGTTCGTAATATAGAAATTTTGCTAGTTCGATATATCGGAAACAATGTTAAGATTTGATTTACCAGTTTATGAAAATAAGCGGTGACCTCAGGGGCAAATGGCGAACCTTCAAATCTATAGTCTTAAAAACAGCGACTGTGATCTTTCCAGGATATACAGAGCATCTCATATCATATTAGATTATCTCAAATCTTTAACACCAAAATAAGCCCTTAACACTCGAAAATTTTATCATTTTCCGCAAGAAAATTCTTATATAAGCCTTATGTTATTTTCTAAATGATTCATTCTCATGAAATTTTCTAATTAGTCCCGAAAATCGTAATTTAGACCCGTTCTCGGTCTAATATGATGTGGGACACCCTGTATTTGTTGCATAAAACCTGCTGGGTAGTCCAGACTGGACTGGACGACTGAATGCATGTACAGTACTGCATGTACTGGCTCGGATCAAGCAACTTGTAAAGGGGACTTGTCTATATTTAAAAGACCGAGTGTAAAAATAAGCGAGATATTTTTGTCCACTATCCGATAGAAGGAATGATTAATACGGAAACGCTGATGAGATCATGTCTAATGGTTCCGTTTAAACAGTAAATGGTTCCGTTTAACCGTAAATGGTTCCGTTTAAACAGTAAAATTTTAATTACTGGCATGAGGTTCTTTTAAAGGAATTGAGTCTTTGCCACAAACTCTGATTTTCTAATCACTATATTTTTGCCAGCTTTTGTCGTGGACTTAAAATATTTCAAACTATGAATTCTGTTAGATCTAATAGAAATATTAAAGGTTTACACCATCAGGTTTCAAAGATATAGATAAGGGATTAGAAAATTTGAGCTTATGAAGAAATTCACTTCCTTTAATAACATTCCTCTGCATATATTATTGATTATAAACAAATGAAATAAGCTTCTCCCGCTCCTCCCCCTTTCTATATAATAATTTAATTCCTTGCGCTGCCCCTGAATAATAATTGATTTTATTGAACATAACAAATACGGTAGAAAGGGGAGAGGGGGGGTAAAAACGGAAATAATTACATTCCAATTAAAGAAACATATGAAAAATACAAAATATTGCATAACAAAGCCTGATGACGTTTTCATTAAAATAGATAGTTTTTTGATAACATTGGGTTCATAAGTAGCAAACTTTATTTTATGCCATTTTTTCCACCAATGGAGATTCTAACAAATTCTTAAATTTCTTATCTAGGAAAAGTTTACGTTATTGGAAAGATAACATTTGATCATTAAAAAATGGCTGACCTTGTATTTTTAAACATTTATCTGCATTGGACTGTATAGTGTATATATATTGGTAGTTAAACTTTGTAAAACTAGTTCGAATTCTTTATCTTGCTTCAAGATGGATTCCTCGATAAAAGTTTCCCCAGAGCTTCCTTTAACCTGGAGAAATTGTTAACCCTAGCCGGACAGACGTAGATGAATTTTGGAAGCGGAAGCTGGGGGGGGGGAGTAGATGAAACATTAAAGCTTTCCGAGAAACTAATTCCTGAATATACATGTTAACTTTTCTCCCCAGAATTTGTTTCCAAAGCGTATCGTGGCGGCTAGGACTTTTCGAAGAATTGACTTGAGGGCTTGTTCTTCGAAAAAAGTTCACATTTAGGACTTTC